TAGAAATTCAAAAATAAAGAGAAAAGCCGTAATCTTATGAGGTTACGACAACGGTATTAATGAAAGTATGATGAAACAGACGATTTTTTTTTAAACCTGCGACACGGAAGTGATTCAGGAGCGGGTTTTTGAAGGGGAAAGGCCTGTGGTGGATCGTGACTCGCGGCTTGGGACGGGCCAAATAGGCAAATCGTGTCTCCACCGGTTCAGGGTTCAACCTGATCGAGTTGGCCGACGCGATAAGTACCCCGTAACAAAGAACCGGTGAAAACCCGGGTCCTTTCACTTCGAGGACAACGGCCCCGGGGCTGTACGAAACTGCATTTGCAGTCCGTCATACGGAAAAAAGTCAAGGTAAAGCCCAAAGGAACGTAGGAAGAAAAGCAGATGGTATAGTCGACCAAAGAGCAATTATGTACACACAAAGAAACCCTTGGAATTATTCATGAATATCCTTTTGAACCTGAAATGTTTTATCTCCAGGTATTTTTACCTACTGATAAAACATTTCTTTCCACGATTTAACTTCTGGACTTTTCGAATGGAGACGAACTTAAATGGCTTGTACGGTGATGAAGATGAATACATTTTTAGCACGCCAGGCCATAAAATTCATCCCTTCCGTATGTTAATGTGACGTCTTCCAAGACGATAGTTAATGTCTGAAAAAAATCTTCTAATAGTGCTCTCTTGTCCTGTTTCGGCTATATTATTGTCACCATAAAGTTATGATGTTTCAATTAGACATATTTTTTATGCAGCTTGTGGGAGTCAGTAATACTACTACTGCCAATAGTAGTAGTAGTAGTACGACTAGTATTTTAGTTGTAGTAGCAATAAAAGACGTTCCTTCAAGGCCAATATACGAAATTGAAGATGCCGTACCGCCTTCAGAACTCAACCGGCATACCTGTAAAATAGTATTGTCCTAGTTGAATTGCCCACCTATTGTATTTTCACGGATGGCAGTAAAACCGGTAATTCTTTGAGGATGTGTTACTGACACATATGACACCAAAAAGGTAAAATTAGTAGTTTCACAGTGGTTGGAATAGTAAAACATATTTCATATGTAACTTGTGGGTATTGGTGAAGAGTTAGTAGTTACTATTAGTAATAGTAGTTGTAGTAGCAACGGTAGTGTTAACAGCAGTAGGAGGAGTCGTAATAGTAATACTAGTGTCATGCAGCGGTAGTCGTAGAAGTAATGGGAATTGTAACAGTAGTAACAGCAGTAATAGTGGCTGTAATGGGAATGGTAACAGCGGTAGTAGTAGAAGTAATAAGAATAGTAACAGTAGTAACAGCGGTAATAGTGGCTGTAATGGGAATAGTAACAGTAGTAACAGCGGTAGTAGTAGAGGTAATGGGAATAGTAACAGTAGTAACAGCGGTAGTAGTGGTTGTAATGGGAATAGTAACAGTAGTAATAGCGGTAGTAGTGGCAGTAATGGGAATAGTAACAGCGGTGGTAGTAGAAGTAATGGGAATAGTAACAGTAGAAATAGCGGTAGTAGTAGAAGTAGCCCTAGTAGTCGCAATACTGTCAATAGTAACAAGGCGTCAGATCCTAGGCCAATAGACTCTGCGGCCGGGGATTCGATCCCTACCATCGATTTTCCGACTTTTTAACAGACACATGACCGCAACGACAAAAAAAAAAAAAAAAAAAAAAAAACTATTCACGACACTCATCAATAGAAAGAACCAGGCCAGTACGAATCTCGAAGACCACGAATTCTTCAGTGAAAGAACACTGAGGCCCCACAATGAAACTAGGTAGTAGGTATAACTAGGAAAATAAGCGCGGGTGCCCCGGAGGATTCCACCTCCGACTCCTGGAAATTCATCTCCAAGGGGAAAAAACAATAGTAACAGGAGAAGCAACAGTAGCAGTAGTATTAGTAGTACCAGGAGGTAGTATCAAAGGCGAGATTAGTAGTACAAGTTATGACAGAGTGTATTTATTAGGGTGAAGGGGGGGTGATGGTGAAATAGCATCCCATCGCCCCTCGAGCTCTGTACGTGACGGGTCGATGGCGGAATATTTATAAAAATACCCCATCGACCCCAATTAGATTAATTTGTTATTGTATGCATGCCGATGGAGTTATATTGAGTACTCCATCTACTAAATAGAATGAATGCAATGTACGTAGGTGTGTTGATATATTTCGGATACGGTCGGGGCTGAAATGACCAAGCTGTCGGATGCCCCTAAAAAAGTTTTGTAGGCAACAGTCTTATTCGATTAAGTTTAGTTCGTAGTAGGTCTAACGAAGATATTTTTTTTCCTAACACAAATTCATTACATCATGATGTTCCAGAAGACGAAAATAGGGTTGGGGTCCCAATTGAACCAAGTCATTAAGCCTAAAAAGTAATCAATTAAGGAAGAAAGGACAATTTTACTATAATTAGCAGTAAATTTATGATTATAACCCATTATTTCCCAGGTGACCTGTTCACTGAAGTATTTTTTGGATTCTAAAGAAAGCCAGCACAGCGAAATTCGCGTGAAACGTAATTTAAATTAGTACAGAGAGTTCATTCGATGTAAGTTTTGATTGCGTGTGGTCATCGATAAAGTGGAAGACCAAATGGACTCGTTCCACATCCAACAATATGGTGAAATCCGGGCTAGTAGTGAACACCGACGGAAGTATTCATCTAAAAGGCCGTTTTGTTGGAAAATACGAACAGCAATTGTGGCAGTTTCGGTCCCGTTATGCAATAAAAAGCACAAGTAAATAAAAATAAAAAATAACGAGAGTATTAAAGAAATTAGATTTATTCACCAATTTTCCGATAGAGTCACTCAGGAAAAACCGGGATTTATTTAACGTTTACAAAGTCTTTAGCAGGAGACCGGGGTGGCGAGTGGTTAGGATGACCGCCACGTATTTGCCATGGTAGCGGTTCTGGGTACGAAAGCCGGCAGAGCTCATGGTATTTTTAATTGATAATGGTATGAAAAATGTATTGTAAAGTGGTTTTACACCGCGTTAAACCTTCCAGCATGACAGAAATTTCTTTACTTGCTTACTGTTACAAGACTTAGAAATATAAATTAACGGGAAGAATATTTAAAACTTTGGTCCTCCGGGCCGGATGGGTACATAGAGACTATTGTCATGGGTTTTGGTACACATCTGTCTCTCAGGCCAAGAATTGTATATTCCATTCCACGTTGTGTTTCGCTTCTAATTGAGTTCCCGAATACACACAGCAAAAGCACACAAATCCTGGCTTACACGCGCACAATCCTTCGGGTGTTATGAAGAAAAAAACTGATTGCATTTCAAATGGCTAGCGATAAGAAGCAACGACTTCAGTGTTATCCCAGGTCGTTAAACATCCCCAGTTCTGATTAAATTCAGCAGAGAGAAGATGGTAACATCTGTCCATCCTGGATTTGAGAACCGCTCTTATGATTCGCTTGGTTTTTTGACTAGCCGAATAGTAGTTGGATATTGATAATTTATTTACTTAAAGTTTTGCTCTTCCGCCTAATCATAATAAGTCATCGCGTCCGGTAGTGTCAGCATCCCTTATCACGGGCGTAAACAGAAAAGATACATTATCAAGTGATGAGCATGCACGTTTCTCACATAAAAGCAACTTCCCCTCAGTTCTTTTCTCATTTTAATTATTTATTTGAAAGAGATTATTTCTGAGAAACTGTAATGGAATAAAAACGATTCAGACCTAAAAGTATATAAATTATTCCATTACTAATGAAAGGAAATTTGTTTTTCTCAACTATTCTCGTTTTCAGTTGATTAGTGTCCCGTGTTTTGCCAAAGAATAAGGATAAATTACTTTTGCCGTAGCATCCTTTATGAGGATCGTTCCGTAATTGGAGCTTAATTTTTTTCACTCTTATAACTAGGTTATTTCATGTGATCACAAAAGGACTGTGTAATCCCTCAACTTCGTTACAAGATCAACCAATCATAGAGAAACATAAAAGGCCAACAGGCTTCTGAAAAATTAAGCTAATGTGATCTACCCTCTGCAGAAAATTAAAATCCGTCGGACTATCAAAGAAAATAATTCTTTTTTCCGCATTTATAATTGGTTTTTGCTTTATTTTTTACAAATAAGCATATTTCAACAAGGGAAAAATCTACAGAAGAGGAAATAAAAGTAACTTAAAGAAATCTAATAAAGTTTGATTAGGTTGATGTGGCCGGAAAGTTCCACGCAGGAAAATCATATTTTGTCTCAAGGTCCAAATCATATTCATGCAAAGAACCCCAACAAACAAGGGAAACCTGTTTGGGCTTTAATGACCTAATGATTAAAAAGCCGGTGATTACATGCTCGAACCTGGAAGTGAAAGGTACTTGCAAAATCTAAGAGTGAAAAAGCAAAAAAAATTTAAATAATTTCAATATTTACACCTTGAACATGTAGATAATTAAGTTATTTTGTCAACAAACAGCTGCAAAATTTATTAAATTTTTCCCTTATTAAAGCTGATCGTGTACTGCCCCGATTTTTCCGGCTAGAAATCAAATAGGTTAAATATTAAATGAAATTTTTAAAAAATCTCAAACCGTAAATTTCATTGTATTTTACGACGAGGGCGGAAAAGCCTAGATCCATTATAGATAAGATTTAACCAAGGAGGCGAAGGTTGAAAGGGAAATGTGTAAGTTTTCAATTAAGTTCCGTACCGCATTGAGTACGATCGGAAATTTCGACCCGATTGTCTAAACAGTTCACTTGTAATTAAATTAAGCCTGGATAAGTAAATGCCGTAGGCTGTGCGTCATTTTGAAAAGAATAACACAGAAGGCGGTTTTTTGGATGTAAATTGTCAAATAAATGAATTAAGCAGACGGTTTGATGTTTAGTTAAAAGAGAGAAATATTCTATATATAAATTTCAATTAAATATACTATTTAAAATAAAAGCTAAAAAAAGGCTGTTTGTGTTTAAGGTTTTAGGGGTTAACCTTACATTCTTAACTAGGGTTAAAGCGATAAACTTACAAGGCTGCGAAAACGTATGTCATGGCTTTACCTGAAAAAACAAAAGAAAAATTATTAATAATAATGGTACAATATCATATTTTTTGTAAATAGATACAAAGGTTAGTAATAGATTATCAAATTCAAATTCATTGCGTTTTAAGTCAAAAAGATGTAAAGCACAACTAAACATCTTAACATTGAATTTCAGACATATAAAACTTTCTTTTATGTTTGTGTAAACTATTTGTTATAAAAAGATGATATCCACTTCACTTCCATTTTAAACTTCCTCTATTTCCCTTTCTGTTGAATGTCTTTCTTTCTTTCTCTCTCCTTTTCTTTGCATTTCCCTCCCTTCCCTCTCGTTTTTCTCCATGTCTTTCTCTCCTCACCTACTCTCTCTTTCTCACTCTCTCTCTCTGTCTCTCTCTCTCTTTCCCCTCACTCTCTTCGTCTTTCTCCCTGCCTTTCTCTCTCAAAGTTTTCCCTCTTTCCTTCTCTCTCAACGCTTTTTTCTTTATTTGGCTCTCAGCCTGTTTCTCTCTTTATCTCTCTCTCTCTCTCTCTCTCTCTCTCTCTCTCTCCCGGCCTTTCTCTCTCACTCTCTCTCTCTCTTTTTCTCTCAAGCACTCACTCTCTCTCTCTATCTTTGTCTTTCGCCCTACCTTTCTGTTTCTCCAAGTTTTCTCTCTCTGTCTTTTTCGCTCTCTTTTTCTTTCTCTGCCTCTCTCTCTCTCTCTCTCTCTCTCTCTCTCTCTCTCTCTCTCTCTCTCTCTCTGTCTCTCACACACTCTCTCTTTCTCCCTCTGACTGTCAACTGTCTCTCATTCTCTCACCCCCTCTCTTACTCCAATTTCTCCTCCTTTCTTTCTTACCTTCTCTCTCTGCTTTTTTCTCTTTTTCCCGCCCTGTCTGTCTCTCTTTATATCTCTGACACACACACACTCTCTTTTTCTCTGTCTGTCATCTGTCTCTCATTCTTTCACTCTCTCAATTACCTATCTCCCTCATTTTCTTTTCTACTCTATCTCGCTCTCTTTCACTTCCTCTTCTTCTCTTCTTCGTTCTTTTTATTTATCAAACGAATATCTCTCTTCCTTTACTCACCTCACCCTCACTCTCCCACCTTTTTTTTTTAAATTGTTTTATTAACCCAATTTTTCTCCTTTTCACTTACTCACTCACTCAGGCATTCTTGCTTTTTTTTGATCACCCTCTCTATCTATTTTTGACGAAGTTTACATATTGTAAAATGGATGCACTATGATATGTGCTTTGTAATTAAGCACGGTATACAGGTGGTATGTACTATGGATGAATCAATCAAGAGTGATTAACATTGGATCGGGGGGAAACAGGAGCTATTGTCCAAATATGTTGCCGGTTCAATCGAAATTGCGGGTATGGTACGCTGCACGCCCCACCCACACGTATTAATGAAAACTGATTTCTGCCGGAAATATCTTTTTCTTCCACCGTGCCAATTGGAACGCTAATAAAACCGCTTTCTCATTCCTCCGGTTTGATTCATTTCCTTTGGAAGGAGGCCGGGGAAAAGGCAAGGCCGAGTATTGTCGAGGGGACGGGACCTGTCTTTGCCGAATACATCCTACTCACTTGAAATCCGACCAGCTAAATTTGGACACTTCTGCCCTTTGACGTTCGCTTTCGGACGATATCACCTTGAATATTGTTTCATGGTGCAAAAATGTTAGCGTAGTACAAACAGTTTTTCACACTCTCATTCTCTCTCTCTTTCTCTCTCTCTCTCTCTCTCTCTCTCTCTCTCTCTCACACACACACACACACACACACACACACACACACACACACACACACTCCCTTTTCTCTCTCTTCAAATGACCCAGAGGACGAGGACTATTGTTTTTTAATATTTATTTATACTAGAAGAGAAAATGTAGTATCCAAATAAATCACAACACTTTAACCAAAGACACGACAGGAAAGAGAGAAGAGAGAGAGAGAGAGAGAGAGAGAGAGAGAGAGAGAGAGAGAGAGAGAGAGTGGGTGAGTGATAGAGAGAGTACAAGAAAGCGAGACAGTTGATAGGCAGAGGGGAGAAAAGAGAGAGGGGGAGAGACATAAAGAGAGAAAGAGAGACAGTCGACAGACAGAACAAATGGTAATGAGTTTGTTTGTATGGAACGTGTGAAATATTCTTGAAAAAATGGTACCAAAAAATTGTAAACGCTGAAGATGGAAATTAGCCCGAAATATCCAAATATAAATTTCAATAGAAAATCCACGTTATTGCTTTCACCCTCAAAAAAAAAAAAAAAAAAAAAAAAAAAAGTTTACCATCTAGTTTAGTTTTGTGATAAACCTGTTTTTTCCCCCAAAACCAGGGGATAATTTAACATTTTGTACGTTTGTATTCAATTGTAAACATTTTATGCAACTGCTACGTGACATTGTGTCCAGCTGATTACAATTGACCCTCGAATTCAACGTGTTTAAAAAAATCGTCCTGGGTTTGCCTCGTTGTTTACAAATAAATTGTTTCAGTTCGAATTTTATCGCAGCGTTAATAATAATTGAAGACAACGTTTGAAATAAACCCATTAAAAAAAAATCACGCAATTACCGGGTTCTAAATCGGGGGATTACAAGATTAATTACTCTCTCAATGAAGTATTTATACTGAGCAATCTCTAGTATAGTGTTAATAAATGTGGATCAATGTGGTTATATTATTTAATATAAAACCAAACTTTTTAAGACAAAAGAAAACGAGAAAAATGTGAGAATCGGTTAGATATTCGTCCAACTCTTTTTACCTTTGGGTATGTAGAGGGAATGTCTCGTTCTCGGGTTCCTCGTCACGCATCCCACCCGCTGCAGAGCGTCCATCGCTCACCCGATCATACCTGGGAAGAAAACACCATGGCGTGATCCCAATTTCTTGACTCCTTCTTTCACAGTTCAACTTCCTATACGCGGATTGGCAAAGATCAAGATTGGCCGATTTACCATTGTGGCGTTGCCGATATATGGTCGCCGCGGGTTTTTGACAATTTAGTCTATATAAATAAGTTTTGTGATTATTTAAGACATAAGAAATCACCATAAAAATTCTTTTTTTCATCCAGAATGGCGGGGGTTCCACTGAGTTTATAGGAGGATTTAGTTTTAACTGACTTTCAAGTATATTTCGTATGATTACAAATCTCACAAAAGAATCATTTTTCCTTTAAAATGTGTCCTCTTTTCTTTTTACCGTATGCAAACAGTTTCTACTTACAGGAACAGCCATACAGAAAAAAGTATTATTTATAAAAAATTTGAAGCACGAAATAATTGGTCAAAATGGCAGATTGGATTAAATTTCAAAATTTTAACTGCTGAAGGTCTTTCTTTGGTTTGTATATTAAAGAAGATTAATGTAATTATAGCTTAGTTCCGTCAAATTAACCTTTATTACTTCAAATTAACTACTTTTAACTGCAAATTACCCTTTTTTTTAAGCAGTAAAAAAACTTATGTGATGGTACGAAATGTGAAAATTTTGAAGTAAATTTCCTGCATTTGATGAAAAAATATATGTAAAAAATTAGAGTGTTAGAAGGCCACATGAAAATTAATTAACTTTAAAAGAAGTCATTTGTTTTTTAAGGGGTTTTTTCCGTCTAATTAACTTTTTCTAACTGCAATTATTCCTTTTTTTTAATCAGTAAAAAAAGCAATGGCATGAAATGTGAAAAATTTTAAGTAAATTTCCCGCTTTTGAAGAAAAATTATGTGTAAAAAATTGGAGTGTTAGAAGGCCGCATGAGAATTAATTTAATTTAAAAGAAGTTATTCGTTTTTAAGGGTTTTTTCCGTCAAATTAACCCTTTTTAACTTTGAATTAAGTATTTTGAACTTCAAATTAATCCTTCTTTTTTTTCAAAGAAAATGGCACGAAAAATCTTAAGTACATTTTCTGCATTTGATGAAAAATTATGTGTAAAAAATTGGAGTGTTAGAAGGCCACATGAAAATTAATTAAGTTTAAAAGAAGTCATTCGTTTTTAAGTGTTTTTTTTCCGTCAAATTAACTTTTTATAACTGCAATTATTCCTTTTTTTTTAATCAGTAAAAAAAAGAAATGGCATGAAATGTGAAAAATTTTAAGTAAATTTCCCGCATTTGAAGAAAAATTATGTGTAAAAAATTGGAGTGTTAGAACGCCGCATGAGAATTAATTTAATTTAGAAGAAGTTATTCGTTTTTAAGTGTTTTTTTCCGTCAAATTAACCCTTTTTAACTTTAAATTAAATATTTTGAATTTCAAATTATTCCTTTTTTTTTCAAAGAAAATGGCACGAAAAATTTCAAGTAAATTTCCTGCATCTTAAGAAAAATGATGTGTAGAAAATAGGAGTGTTAGAACGCCGCATGAGAATTAATTTAATTTAAAAGAAGTTATTCGTTTTTAAGTGTTTTTTTCCGTCAAATTAACCCTTTTTAACTTTAAATTAAGTATTTTGAACATCAAATTATTCCTCTTTTTTTTCAAAGAAAATGGCACGAAAAATCTTAAGTAAATTTTCTGCATTTGATGAAAAATTATGTGTAAAAAATTGGAGTGGTAGAAGGCCACATGAAAATTAATTTAATTTAAAAGAAATCATTCGTTTTTAAGGGGTGTTTTCCGTCAAATTAACCCTTTTTAACTTTAAATTAAGCATTTTTAACTTCAAATTATTCTTTTTTTTTCAAGCAGTAAAAACAAAATTATGTGTAAAATATTTGGCATGTTATGGGATCATATGAAAATTAATTAAGTTTAAAAGAAGTAATTCGTTATTATGGCTTTTTCCGTAAAATTCACCCTTTTTTAATTTTAAATTAACCATTTGTAACTTAAAATTATTCCTTTTTTTAAAGCAGTAAATGTGGCATGAAATGTGAACAATTTTAAGTAAATTTCCTACATTTCAAGAAAAGTTGTGTACAGTAATTGGTATGTTAGAAGACTAACAAATTAAATAAGTTTTAAAAAAAAGCTAACCGTTTTTATGGGTTTTTTCCGTCGAATTAACCCGT